TTTTTGGCTTAGTGTAAGTTATCATTTCTAACCTTTGACTATGTCCAACTCATTTCATTTTGACTTTCAGTTAGGCCCAAATAATTTTAATTTGAGCCTGAATGTAATGAATGTCTATGTCTTTGCATAATTCCTATTACATAGAAAAAGTGCAAAAAGAGGTAACTGTAAATACCTCATTTAGTCCAAGGTCTGAGTCAATTAGGCCTAATTTAATTTCAAGCCTAAAGGCCCAAATTGGTTAGGCTCAAACCCACCCCATGACCAATTGTTGAATTTCCTTTATTTTTTATTTTTTATTTTACTGTTATTGTATTTATTTATGTACATATTTATCTTATACATCCTATTTATTTTTATTGTGGTTTATCTTTAATTTCATTTATTTTTTAATATTGTTTATTTGTTATCATTTACTTTTTTTCTTTTATATTTATTTCATTTAATTTATTTATTGATCTGGTAATTAAAAAAAAGGATAATGAAAAAAATAGTGGATGGTTGAAGAAAGGATCGATGGTAATGTGGTATTATCATGATTAAATCGAATTTAAACATGTCAAGATAAATTATATTTTGCCATGATAATTCTAGCTTTTTGACTTGCGATTCATTTGAAACTCTTATTGAAAATTCAATAAATTAAAACACCTTAAGGATCTGTGCTTTTTTTTCATGACTAAAATGGCACCGTAATTTTTTAAAACACTTTAAGGTGTCATGATAAATAGGACTTGTAATTCACTGCTAAGAAAACAACAACAATCCGCACAAAAATAAAAAAAAAAGTAGACAACAACCATTAGTGAGCAAGAGAAAAAATAGAGTGAACACAACTATCATCATAAAACAATCATAAAGGACAGAGAATAATAAAAAATTTATGGCAGAATGATATTTGGAGATTTAAATGTTGAAGGACTTGGAGAACTTAGAAGAGGTGAATCAAAGATTTTTTGGTGATTTTTCTAGAAATTTTCTAGACTTTTCATATTTTGGTTGAATTTCTTGACGAGATTCAAGTTTTCTGTAGCTTTTTGGCAAAAATCCCAACTCTCAACAACAAATTCCAAAATCTGACGATGAGACCTAAATTTAGGCTAAACTTTGGCGCAAACCCAATGGCATAACCCAGAATCCAATAAAGCTTAAACGACCAGTAAAGAGAGAAGCAGAAAAGAATAAGAGGGTAGAGAGAGAAGAGTAGATTTTAAAAAATAAAATAAAATTTCAACCTTTTATACCTTGCTTATACGGTGCCATTTTAGTCATTAAAACACCTTAAAGATCTGTGCTTTTTTATTCACCCGACCGGATCCAGTCATGACCCAAACTTGCAACCCATTTCAGCAACCTCATTCAAGCCAAGCTAAGCCACAAACTAAGTAGTGATTAAAGCCACGTAAGCCAACTATCCTTTCTACAACTAAGCTGCAACTCAAGCCAAGCCGACCCATTCTTTTTTTGGTAATTTTTTGTTTAATTAATTATTTAAGTTTATTTTATTTTATAATTGATTTTAATTGTTATTTTTTTCAATTTACTTATTTATTTTTGTTTTAGTTATGTAAATTTTATTTGTTTTAATTGATATTTCTATAAAAAAAAAAGAATTTTTCAAAATAAATTCATAAATCTTACCAAAAGATTTGAGGTTTTTTATAGGTTTACGAATTTTCAAATTATTATTTTCTACTAAATGATTGGAAAAATTCATAATAAATTTTTTATGAAATAAAATTATCGTTTCTAATCCTACCAAATGATTGGAGAATTTAGGAATTTTTTACTTATGAATTCTATCAAATAATTAGAGAATTTCATGATGAATTTTTTAAAAATATATATTTTTCAATCCTACCAAATAATTAGAGGATTTTAAGTCTTGAATTATGAATTTTACCAAACAATTAGAGAATTTTATAATGAATTTTGGAAAAAAAAAAGATTTTGTGATCCTACCAAATGATTGGAGAATTTAAATCTCCAAATTAAATCTTACCCATTTATTAAAAAATTTAATGATCTTTAAAAAAAGTTTTTAAATAAAAATCTCACCAAATAATTAGGAGATATGCATTGATATAAAAGACTACCAAATGGATGGAGGATTTTATTATTTGATTTAAAAGACTACCAAACGATTAGAGAATTTTATAATGAATTTTGGAAAAAAAATGATTTTGTGATCCTACCAAACGATTGGAGAATTTAAATCTCCAAATTAAATCTTACCCATCTATTGAAAAATTTAATGATCTTTAAAAAAGGTTTTTAAATAAAAATCCCACTAAATGATTAGGAGATATGCATTGATATAAAAAGACTACCAAACAAATTGAGGATTTTATTATTTATTTCAAAAATAATTTCTTGAAAAATATGTTAATGAATCTAATAACGGAATCTTTTTAGAATAGGACACGAGCCTTTATGAATACTCTTGAGGTGAAAAAATTATCTTTTGCTATCAAATAATTAGAGTAATTTTAAGATCAATTTTTAATAATTAAATTATTTAGTAAAAATATAAACATATTCTAAGGCTTGGATAACACAAAATCAAACTAGTACCATCCTTTGGATGGGTATTGTGAGGGTACTATAACTTTTTTTACATGTAATCGTACTCCTAAACCTAGTTCTAATTTTATAGACTATAATCTACATTTTAAAGATACTTAAGTCAAGTTTATGATATCTCTTTAAAAGGAGACAGATTCAATTAGGTGCCCAATAGCACATAGAGAAAAAAAGATTTGGGACGACTCTTTAAAGTTATGTCTAATGATAGGTCCACGAATTTATACATTATGATAGCTATTATCAATTTTTTTTTACATGGTAACAAAAAATAACATGTAAAAATAACATGTAAATTATGAAAAAAATTATAATAGTAAAAACAAAAGAGTTTATATTTAATACACTGTTAGTGTATAGATCCTATATTTTATTAATGAATCAAATGATGACATCTTATTAATGAGCAAATATCAACTCTTAAAATACATATACAAAATTTATATTTTTTAAAAACCTTATTGATGAAATATTATCATTTGATTCATCTCATTAATGAAATGTTATCATTTGATTTTTTAAGAATGAAAATTTTATATACTGATAGTGCATTAAATATAAATCCAAATAATCATCAAAACAAGAAAAAAAAAAGAAAAAAATCACATAGATTTTAATTTCATTTTTTAAAGTTATTTTCTCTCTCTATTTTTTCTTTATCAAATAAATAAAAAATTAATATTTAAAAAAGATAATTTAAGCTTAATTAAAATATTTATTTTATTATAAAATTTTTATAAAAATAAATAATAATTTTTTCATAATATATTTTTTGGAAAAAGAAAAAATTTTGATTTGAAAGTAAAAGTTTTATATCCTTTTTAAGAGTTTTTAGATATTAAGCCAAAGAGCTTAGGATCATGTATGTGCATTTGAATTACATGTTAAATATAAACATTATATTTTAATTTTATTTAATTTGTTTTAAATATATTAGTAAAATATTTTACACATAAAATTATGATAATAAAATTTAATATTTTCTTATAATATAATTATAAAAAATGAACCCAAAAAAAGTTGGTCTTTATATTTTACGAAAATTATGAATTTAGTCTCTATATTATAATTTATAGAAATTTAGTTCTCATATTATTTTAATTTAATAATTTGTCTATTACTAACTCCATCAATTTTTTACTTTTAAAAATGTTAAAATTGTCGTTAACTTTGTTGATATGGTGTTGATTTGTTGACGTGACAATTTGAATTAATGAAATCATATGTTAAATTATATAAGTGATTCTATACTCATATAAAATTTGAAATTTAGTTTATGTACTTACATGAAATTCAAATTTTAGTCCCTATACTAATACGAAATTTAAAATTTAGTCATTCTAATATAAAAATATTTTGAATTTTTTTAGTTTTTGAAACATATTAAAATTTAAAAATATTTTAATTCATGTAATATAAAAATATTTTTTGAAATATATTAGTTTTTATTATATATAATTAATTATTATAATATCATATAAATAATAATACTATTATCATTTATATTAATCAATTATAATATTAATAATTTAAATTAATATATCAAAGTTAATATTATTTTAATTAGCTTAGTAAATTACTTTAATCTAGTAAATTACTTTAAATTATTTAAAATTTTTAACCTAGATTTGATTATAAAAAATAATTTAAATAGGGTTTAATTCAAAGGAATAGAAACATTATTAGATAGATAATTTTATCTTCATAAGATATAATTATAATTTATTTAATAAATTAATAAAAAATAATGGTTTATTAAAATTAGATAATAACATATTTGTATCATTTATTAAAAAGTTGTGATAGATTTTGATAGATTGGTATAAAACTTTTTTAATATGACTATAGTATATTATAATTATGACAGAAAAGTATAACAAAATTAGTAATAGATTTACATTTTATAAAAAAGTGTAACAAAAAATAGTGACAAAACTAGTAACAATAGTTTACACGGGTAATAAAAAATTATATTAGATTTAGTTCCAATATATGAAAATTATCATAAAATATTATAATAGATTTTTTAATATTGGGATAAAATATTATAAGAAAAGATTGTGTCAATTTTTAACCTAGAAAATTTCAAAATATTCAAAATTTTTTTATATTAGAGGGATTAAATTCAAAATATTTTTATGAGTATAAATATTAAATTTCAAATTTTGTTTGAGTATAAAAATTAAATTTTGAATTTCTTACAAGTATAAGGATTACTTATATAATTTAACCATCAATTTTATTAATCTCAATTATCACATTAACAAGTCAAAGCGACATCATCAAAGTCAATGGTTATATCATCATTTTTAAAAGTACAAAATTGATGAAATTAATAATTAAAATAAAATTATCAAATTAAAATAATAAAAAATTTTAATTTTTATGAATTATAACGCAAGAGACAAAATTTTTAATTTTTGTAAAATACAAAATCCACGCACGTTTTGACCAAAAAATATGTTTCGTTGCCGAGCGAATGTCTGGCGACTTTATTAACCGTATTGTAAAACTAAAACCCCAGAAAAGCAAAGACACCGAACAAAAGAAAAGAAATCAGGAGAGATAAGAACAGAGACAGAGATGGGAAAAGCGGAGAAAGAACAGCTGAATCAAGCACTCACTGCCTACCTCAATACCATCCATGAAACTTTGCAGGTTTCTTTCTTTTTTTTTTTTTTTTTTTTTTCATTTACGGACTTCATCTGAGAGCTTTTTGTGCTTATGTTGTCTTTTTGGGGGTTACGGTAAGTAGGTGTTGGATCAAACCTCTTCTTCTTTGGAGAAAGTGTCCTGGACTCAAGTTATCCAGATTGGTGAACAACTTTCCAAGCAAGCTACTATTGGTACTCCCAAATTCGTTTCTTTTCTTTTCTTTCATTTTTTAGGAATTTTCTTTCTTGGGCAGTGGGTTTTTTTTTTTTTTTTTTGTTACAATTAAGGTATTCAAATTATGTATGCCATAAAACTATTTTGGATTTATATGTGGGTTTTTGGATAGTTTCCCTTCTTTTTTCTCCTTGTTTAGATGCAAAGACTTCAAATTCACGTGTGCTTTGAAATTGCAGTACGCATTTAAATTATATGTTTTACTAATGAGGCTTTAAGTTTAGGGTATAGGGTTTAGTACTATATTATATGATAAGTTTAACAAGAACCATCATTTCATGACAAAATAGCCATTTTTTGCCTCTTTTTGTTATTTATTTCCAAGATTCTCTTTTGTTTCATGCTAAAAAGAATGGCACACAAACAAACTTTTAATATATCTGCTTGACATATGGATTGTTTTCTTTTCTTCCCCCATAATTCTGTGTGGCATTTTGGATTGAGTGAAGTTAGTGATTGATTCATCTGTTTGTTTAAAAGCCGGAATGCTTTGGAATGGGAAAGCACCTGAAGCTAAAGAACTTGAGGAGAACATAACATCATATTTCAATGTGCTACAGGGCTTCCTTTTGCTCTCCCATGGAAGCACTGTTGACGCTGGCCCAACACTCTCTCTGAGCATCCATGAATCTGTTAAGCAAGTTGTCGATTGCAGTTTTAGGTTAATGAAGGAATCTGTCTCGTTATATGGTAAATAGATTCTCTGTTTCTCAGAACTACATATTAATGCACCTAATGCAACCATAAAAATAAATTCCCATTCAAGTATGCATTAAAATTGGGTGAAGAGGCCAAAGGTTACTCTTTTTTTCTATTTTGGTTGCAGATAAAGGGTTAGTTTAGTTAACGTATGTAACACTTAGTTTGGCAATTGATTTTTTTTTCCCTTTAGAGGTTGAGTTCTTATATTTAGTGAACTTAGAGGATGTAAACAGTAGTGATAATTAGGAAGTGTTTTATAAAGTGATGTTGAATGATATGGTACAGAACACTTAAGAATCAGTACTGGAATGATATGTCTTCCCTAGGAGTAAAGTGACTAGTCTTTTATAAACATATAGCCTCCTTCTTCTAAACCATATAGATATTTAAGTATTTATCCAAGTAAATTGTTTGAAGTGATGTTGATGTATGGGATAATTATATGTTTTTTTCTCTTGTAATGGGTTGGTGTTACTAATTTTGAACTGTGATATATAGTATCTTACTATATTTTAGTATGAAATCATTGGATAATCAATGGGGTTGATGATGATCATTGTTGACTGCTTCATGAAGGTGTGCATGTTATTGTCCCTTGCCTTGCTTGTGTATTTGTATGCGTGCAGTGAGTATTCCTTTAGCTGTCTCCTTTAGGCAATCTGATTGCAGTCTCACAAAAGAAGAAAATTAATAAAGAAGTAATCGATATATAATTTCATATGCAATAATTCATGCTAACAAGGGTGGAGGACTTATTTTAAAATTAATAAAGAAGTAATCGATATATAATTTCATATGCAATAATTCATGCTAACAAGGGTGGAGGACTTATTTTAGATTTGACTAGAGTGCATTCTATATTCTCTAGCCTTTTATGCATGCATCAGCTTTCTTTTTGACCAAAAACTTAATTGACCATCCAAAGGATTAATTTTTCTTTTCTTCCATCAAGACAAACAACGATACTTATCTTCAATGATAGCAGGATCTCGCAATAAGGACAAGAAACTGTCAATGCCTCAGTTTGTTGGAGCAGTATGGGAGGCATGTTCTTCTCTTAAGAAGGTCCCTGCCACAAATGTGATAGCGATTGGGCGGGCAATGACACAGATAGCAGTTTCTGTGAAGGATGTTCTTCGCGAGATAAAGGAGCTCAAGCCTGCTCCCTCTGATCTCGGAGACGAAGACTTTGGTGATACTCGTACCAAAGCAGAAAGCGGGCCTGAAGATGATGATTTAAGTGAGGATGATCTGGGCAGTGACTTGTCGCCTGAAGAAATGAAAGTTGCTCAACTAGCTCAAGGGGTTGTATCTGAGACACTTGTGACTATAAAGGAACTTGTCCGCATGATCACTGGTTTGCTTAATCTAGAAACTCCAGATGACAATAGTAAGTTTGTGGATTCTTTGGAGAAATTACTGAAGATATGTCGAGGAACGGGAGCACAAATTGATGAAATTGGAGCCTGTCTTTATCCGCCTCAAGAGATTGCTGCGATAAGGCTGGCTTTGGAGAAAATGTCAAGTAGCATTGATGAAGTACAGCAAGAGGTGGAATGTTTTGAAACATTATCTGAGCCCTTTGTTGAGGCTTGCAGTGGGTTGAGAACTCAATTGAAAAAAATGGAATCTGAACTGGATCGCTCCAGCACAACTGAGTTAGCGAGTCAAATGCAGAACGTTGCTGTCATCAATTAGATATAGCCAAATAGAGAGAGAAAGTGGGACTTGAAATTTTGTTAACTGAACCCAACTTTTCAAGGGAAAATTGTTCTGAAAACTATTTTAAATCTTTTACCGTTAATTTCATTTCTCGTTCTATATTGGAAGTCTTGATCTGCAGTCTAGTGGCAGGGATGAGAATGGTTCGTTTTGATCCAATTATTTTAATTATGTAATATTTTAAATTTTTAAAAATCAGTATAAATTTGAATTAAATTTTTTTGAAATTATTCCAATTTAAATGGAATTTTATCAATTTAATTCATTAAATTTTCAAAATTAAAATTTTTAATATTTGTTATTATTTCAAAATTATTTTTAATATATTTAAATAAATTTAAGTATAAAATAATTATTTTTATTTTATACAAATTTTAAAAATATATAAATTAATAAAAATATATAATTTGTTTTAAATATTTTTTATTTTTCATTTTTAATTTGAGAACCTAATCAAACCAAATTAAAATATAAAATATCTGAATTTAAACTGAATAAAAAAAATCCAGATTGATCCTAAAATTTCAAAGTAATACCTTTTTTTTTTTTCTCAATCCTAGTGCTATCTAGGAGAAGTTTGCAATACACGGTAAAAGAAATACTACAATGATGATACAAATTCGGTATAAACTATTTAGTGGCTGATTTTGCACCAGTCGATATGACTCGTTTTTAGCAATATACAAAATGAGCATGCTTGAAATGCACTGCCCATTAGACAAATCCCTACTGAATTGTTGGAGAGTGAAGTCACCGTCCTGTAAGCTTAACAACCCATGCACCACCTAAGTAAAGACCCATAAGTGGCGCAGCCAGGAGCATTTGAGTAAGAGGATCTGTTGATGGTGTAAGTACAGCTGCTGCAATAACAGCACCAACCACAACATATCTCCAAATGGAAAGCATTTGGTCCCCCGACACAAGACCAAGTTGTCCAAGAAGAAATTGTATAACAGGAACCTGCAGAATAAATCAAATAGAGCCATCTAAGATTTGAGTTAAAAGCCTGTGCCGAGCACGAGACAGTTTCAGTTTAGGTTCCCCTAAAACATGATTGCTGAAATCCAAACATTCGACTTTCAAGAGTTCATTTTACTCACTAAGAGAATCATTAGGTTGAGTTCTTACAAAGCAAAAGGATGATAGTCAAACTAGTTTTCAATTTTCATATAGATTTGAACTCAAAAACTTAGAAATATGGTGACTGGAAGTGTTTACCCCAATAGAAGTAGGAAATACCTGGAAAGACAAGCCTGTGCTGAACATAAGCACTAGTACAAACTCAAAGTACTGATCAATGGACCACAAAGATTCCACAACCCCTTCAGCATAAGTAACAAAGAAATTTAAGGCTGCTGGAGTCAGAACCGAGTAGGAGAAGAAAATACCAGCATAGAAAAGAACCGAGGAGCCCAATACAATCGGCCCCAGAAACCTTCTCTCTGCTCTTGTTAAACCTGGAAGAACAAAGGCTATGATCTCATACAGAATTATAGGGCTTCCTAAGAGAAGGCCACAATATCCTGATACCTGCAAAACACCAACTAAATAAATTGTTACCAATAGTAGTCATATATTTTTGTTTCGTTCTTTCAACTTGATCTCTTTTCTTTTTCTTTTTTTCTTTATTCTCATTTTTGTTCTTTCTTAAGTTTTAGATGCAAGGTAATATGCAGCTAGCTTTTTATCTAATCAAAGTTGAAAATATTTATACAACCGTGCAAGCAGCAGGTGGAAGTTAATCAGGAAGGATAGGATCAAAAAATTAATTGCAATATCACATATTTCTAGGAATAAAAGTATCCAGCAAAAATTACTCTGACATAATTTAATCCAAAATTTTTAAAGGTATCTTTAATATGATAGCACATCATTCCAAAGGTATCCTATGGTGCTGTACTAGTTCGTTTTAAAAATAAATAAAAAGCAAATAAAATAAACATGAAATAGAGCAAGATAGTACTCATTCCATGTTAAGTCTATTACTATAAAAACAGATAAAATGTTGCAACCAATAACTGATATTCATATCCTGAAGACAAAAAAATTTCATTCAATCTAACCTTTAAAGTTGTGAAGAAAAACTCGCCAGGAGCTAGTTGCAGAAATCGTACGCCCTGTTCTTTAACAGGAGCCTCAAGAAACATTATCAGTTCTTTTGAAAATGCAAAGCATCCCAACATAGCAGCTCCAACAGCCAACGCTGACACAAATATTCTCTGGCGTAGCTCTTCAAGATGATCAAATATAGTCATTTCTTTATCATCTGGCAGGAGATCTTTATCAGGATAAAGAAAATTATAAAGCGCACTTCTTTCATTATTCAGCTCAAACCTTTGTGATGTTTCTTCAGTTGAGATATTAGTCGCATCTATGTCATGCATCATATAAGAGAGGTCAGCATTTTACCTAAAAGCATGTAAATCTATTGAGTTCCTGAAAGTACAATTATCAAGAATTAGATTATGAAAATTATATAATTCCATAACTATCCAACAAATGCAGATCATGCCTTCTTTAAGATGCGAAATTAAACATGTCAAGAATAATGGCATCAAATTAGAAGAAAGGTGAAAATTGAGTTTTGGAAGAATTTGCTAATATCTTTGATCCTACAATAAAACTATAAAGTTCCCCCTTCTTTGTGTTTGCACAACTATTACTTATTTTCACAAAACTTATAATCAGGTAGAAACTAAAACGCAAAGCACACACAAGTTAATCAATCCAAGGCAACAAGCCATTTTGCAAAGGGCAAATATGGCCTGGTTTTCTGCAGTCATTACTCCAAATAATACTGCCAAAAAGAAACATGAGCTCTCATAGCACAAGCACTTGAAAACATTTCTTTGATCTATATGACCCTTGAAAACAAATTACCAGTCAGAATGAAACCATTGGTTCTATATCTCAGATCTTTAAGTTTGGAGTTTGTAGGAGCCATGTATTCTGGTTGGGTATCTCCAGCTATTATCAACTGGCTTTCTGGTAGTATTTCCTAATATGGTATCCAAGCCTTGGTTAATTATTGTCCTGTCCACAAAATCTACATGGTGTCCATTTGTTTTAATTGTTCCACAGGAGCTACATGTGCGGAAGGGTGTAAAGTGGTGGTCTATCCCAGATCAATTTGTTTGAGATCTATAATGGCATTGCTGCCTTTCGACTTTCCCCTTATTGCCGTTTGGTTATAGATTGGATGCCTTAAAACAAAAATTTTTATGCGTGTAAAGCATTGCCTCCAAGACGGTGAAAAACAACAGTATCAAAAGTATTTTCTTTAAGTTTAAAGCAATTTTTTAAGGAAACTCTTAGCTTCCCCCACAAAGAACTCCAAAAGTGACTAAAAAAATTGGAATCACAATCTGAGGCAATGAATTTCAGAAAACCACAGTTTTGCAGTTTATCTAAAGTATAGATCTGCCGCATAAGAAGCATCGATTTCTTGTTACAACAAACAAAGTAAACCATATTGAAATAAAGTCCTTTTTCCTTTGAGTCTATGGCAAACCTCCCCCCCTCCCCCAAAAAAAAAAAAAGAAAAAACCATGCTAACATACTTCCAAGGTGAAGCTAGTTTTGGTACAATTCAACATTTTGTTCGTAGCCCAAAACAACGAAGGGTGATCTTCCAACCAGCCCAACTCTTCAACCAAAAATGAGGCATCCTTGGTGGGGGCAATTCTGGAGCAACCGACCACACATTAGGAAGAATTTATGTTCAAGGTTCCAGCCTACACATTTGACCAATGGGTGCTATAATTGTTGTTGGAATTAATGATTTGCAATATGTTATTCTAATATCCTAGGAGAACCCTAGGAGCTTCTAGAATATGTGTTCATAATAATTCCTGTTAGTATAATTTTGTTTTTCTCAGCTGTTTCTATTCCTGAAGGGATGTTCAAGCTCTATAAATAGGTCATCATTTACTGTAACTGGAAAGTGTAATTTGAATAAAATAAACCTCTTGGTTTTTTCATTTAAGTTTTGTACCTCCTAGTTGGATTTCCTTAGAGTTGTGAACTTGCTTAAACTATTATCATCAGGGTGGTGACTCTTGTATCCCTAGAGTGTGGAGTTACGTTGTCTTGTATCTTTGGAGCAGTGTATTTGTTTCCTTAAAGTGGTGAATCTAATAATTATTTGTGTAAGATTAAGGGGTTCTTCTCACTTGATTCCCTTGATCTAATACAAACTTTAGAGCTCAGGAACATACTACACATGTTGAGTTCAAAAGATTTCTAATCTATTCCAAATTTGGATGCAAATTTTTTCTGTTCGTAATCTTTTATCATGGCTATACGAGGGAAAATACTTACAATCAAAGAAGCACATGAAAAAGATGTCCGTGATCTGAAAATAGATGAGAAGAGAAGAATGATTCAAGAATTACAGCTACATCTTTATTGTTATGAAGGTTGTAATTCTACTAGAAAATCTAATTGTGACTCATGCAGACATTAAGGGGATTACTATAACCTTTTCTATCAAAATGTAAAGTGCTCTTCTCATTTCATTCGCTTGATCCAGTATCACCAGACTAGTGGAAATAATTAGCAATCAAGTTACTGGTTCGAAGAACTAAAAAATTCATTACCCAAATGATCCTTATTCAATTTTGTTATGGGGGAGTTGAGTAAACCAGCTAGTGGAATACTTGGATTGCATGAGATGAACTGTAAAGGACTGATCCAAAAGACTACGCAAAAGCTACAAAAGCTCTCAGTAATGAGAAGGCATTTTGTCAACCTGAGAAATTGATGAAGAACTAGTCCAAAAGTTATCTAAATTAGTTATTTTAATATATTCTTTTATTTTTTTCGTTTTAGTTTGGTTTATGGTTAGTAATTATGTTTTTATTTGATTGAATTAGTCATGTGAAATTTTAATGAGTTTAAATGGCTAGGGTTAAATGTGGTTTATGTATATCCAAGTGCCACAATGAAAACTACTATAACACTAGTATAAATAGTCTTTTAGACACATTAGGTAGTCATATTATAGTTGAATATGATTTGCTAAGAGGTTTTGCTACTTGAGTATATATTAATTTTAGACTCTGTTCTGTTTTCTTTCACTGTTTTGGTTTTGTTTTTATGGTTTCTACTTCCACAGTGCACCACATTTCCTGATGCCAGAACATTAGATCTGTGCCCCCTTTTGCATTTCAATATATTGACCACTTAAGTAGGTAGAAGAAAAATATCTCTTTAAGTTTTTAGCAAAGAACTCAAGCAAAAGTAATTTGTTCTGATTTACTCGGTCAGGTATAACAAAAGTGCCTTCATACCAGCTTTCATTGTTGCTTGCAATAAGGCAATATACATCTTGATCCAAATGCTAATAACTTCATATTATAGAGAAAAATATTTGTGAGACTATCAATGTCATGACCCAAGAGTATCTGTAGCAGGAGACAAATTGAAATTTGTGTATGGTATCTGCCTAAAGAATGCCATTCATTTTTCTGCAGCATTCTCATCTGCTTGCACCTATATTGTCTGTTATCCCTACTAGTATGACTAACCTCTTGTCCTAGAACATAAAATCAATTTAATTCTTTCTCTCCCGCTCATAGCATCTATGCTGAAACTGACCTGATCTTATAAAATGTTATGGATCAATAATTTGATCCATTACTAGCTAATGTTCATCCAGAAGCGGTTAATTAGGCACCCTAATATTTCAAGGAACAAAAGAATACACTCCTCTGCTATATTAACTCATTTAATAATTTGATGCTGACTAAACTAAGCATGAGCACACATTGCTGAATGAAGGAGATATTTTCCCATAACAACAACCTTCTCTTGCAAACAAACATATATTTCATTTAAAATTTTTCATTCATGAATAACCACCCATTAGTACAATTTGTTTAAACCAACAATCGATTGTAAATGATTCCCCAACACGCAACCCAATTCCTCTTGCAAATTCCAATCCAAAAAGTTAATCGTTATCAACTTCATAAAAAGAGGCAATGAGCAAAGCAATAAGGCTTCCTATGTGTGAGTAAAAAATCTAACTTGAGCCCGAATATTAAATCTATTTAAACAAGAATTAAGCTAAAATTTTCAATTAAAAAAAATCCAATTCACCTTTTGATTTTGTTTGATAGCAATTTTATAGGAAATAAAAAAAAAATAACACAGCAACAATAAAACCAAACCTTAAAGCACCAGAAGCAAGCAATTATGGAAAATTGAAAGAAAAATTAAATGAAATTAAAAATTTTAAGTTGTAATTCGTTTCTACCAGGTCTATCCTCGATGGCGGAGGCGCTGCTGGTTTTACTAAAATCTTGTTGTCGATTTTCTTTAACATCATCATCAACAGCAGCGAAACAAACGGCACTACGAAAGCCTTTCCAGCTCCACGAAGCACCGAATTCCAGCCTCCCACTCCTTGAATCGCTGAATTTAAGAGAGTTGAACTTGAGCTGAGCCCTGGTTGACTCGACGAGTTTGAAGCAGCTTTTGTTGACCTGTAAATGGGAGATTAAAGCAGCGCTGGTGCTCGTGCTTCCCATATCTCTCCCTGTCTTCCTTTGCTGTTTCTCTTTTTTATATACCAATTTTTATTTTTTTTCTGTAATTTCTAGTATTGAAAATGGAATACTGGATTTATGTTTATTTCTTATAAACGCCCAACGCTTGGCTCTTGTTTCCGATATTCGGATTTTTTTTGCAGAAAGAGAAGGCCTCGGCGCATTTTAGCGAAGATGCATGGAGAAAATTCTATTGAATGCCCTTGGATATGATTTCTTACTCATTTATGGTTTCACATGAAAATCGTTTTACAGATATAGAATTAATTCTCTAAGAATTACTGATTTCGTTTCATTTCATTTTATCAGTAAATTTCAGTTTCATCTCCGAACCAAATGGCAAGGAACACATATTTGGTAAGGTTGATTTGAATTTGGTTTTGATCTTAATAAATAAAACATAAATTTAATTTATAATAAATGTAAAATTTAAATTTTAAAATTCAAAATTTTTATTTAAATTTTAAATACAAGTTTAAAATAATTGAGTTGTAACTCAAAAAATTCTGATCGAATTTAAAATAGCTATAATTTGTACATTATAAAACATAAATAACAATATTTCTTATACATATAATTACTTTCCTATCTCATTATATATATATATATATATATTAAAAAACAATCCATGGATTACTCTATTATAATTTTTACAACAATATCTAACAAGAAACTAGGACACTCTTCAATTCAGTTCATATCAGTTTCAGTTTGCTTCCCATATTTTTTAAGTTTATGAGCTATCATATTAGCTTCACGCAATATGAGAAGCCACACAGCTTTGCATAGTTTCTATTATCGCTTATGTTTCATCTAGAATTATTTCATATGTTAAAATTATAGTATTTTTATATGTTAAAATTTGTGCTAAATTTTAAATTTTGATATATTTTTAGTGTCTTAATGCTTATTTTATGATTTTTAGGGTTTTAAGCTTGTGGACTTCATTTTATGCAAACTATGCATGAATGCATGTAAAAGCACATATAGCCATATCTCATAAGCCTATAGCCAAACCCTATTGGCCCAATTTCATGCAAACATGCGGTCAAGAAAGAGTTTTACATCCATGAGGATACCTTTAACTTTCCCATCGTATTCGGCCAAAGCAAAAATTCAAGAAGGTTCTAAGCATTTTCAAGCTCATATGAACTCTATCTATTCAGCTAAATAAGGTTTTATCTAAGAATAACTCTTTTACTTAGCCATTAAAGAATTTAAATAAATGAAGACTCTTATCTCTTATCTCCCATTCGACTAAAATACAATCCAAGAGGACTTCATGCAATTTCAACCCAACAAAGAAACTAGATACATTATGCTAAAGATGTTTATGATGGACAAAGACTCTTTTGCTTGCTCTTTAAAGAATCATGATAAAAAGAGGACTCTTGCCTTTTAAATTGAAAGAGTCTGGATAAAATTCAAATACATTATCTTGTAATCCAAAAGTTAGCCGAACCTACCTAGAGAATGTATCAAGATGGAAGTTAAAAATCAAATGGCCAAGATTAAATCCTAAAAGAGCACTCGACCAAGACTGCTCCACTATGAAGAGTATCATTCGACCATGATGCTTTAGAGGCCAAGATTAAGCTCTATCATGTAGCATTTGAATTTAAATGCAACTCTTGTAATCTTTATCCCCTTTAGCCAAATCCTTCATTATAAATAGGGAGGCCATTCATCTTATTTCATCATCCTTCATCACTCACATTTCTTCTCTTCTCTCTTTTTAATTTTTTAGTTCTTTTTCTTTAGTTTTTTTGTTTAGTTTAGTTGTTGGTTTAGGTGACTAATTTGCCAATAACAAAAGGTTTGTTCTTTAAATTATTTTCTTTAATTCAAGAAGTAGTTTTCCAAGATCTTTTTCACTATTTTGCTTTCAAATCTTGTTCTTTACTTATTTATTTTTGGTAATCATATTCTTTTCTAATCTTTTGTTTTTTACATTCTCTTTTATGCAATATTAGTTTTAGCCATTGTTTTTCTGTAAAATATTTTATCTTTATGTAATTTAATTTTTTTGCTCTTTTATGCAATCTTATACCATTCGGCTTTCATCATTTGTTCTTATTTTTAAATTGTTTTCTTTAGTTATTTGTGGCTACTCTCTTTTTACTTCTCACTTTATAGTTGGAGAAGTCAATATCTAAGCCTACATTGCTTTATTCTTTCTTTTCTTTATTTGCAACCAAACCCCAAGTTTTCAATTGTTTAGATATAGGATTTTAAGATCTCGCCATTAATATTTGAAGAACTACGTAACATTTACAATCTATAATCCTTTAAGAAACGATACTAGAATACTTTTATTTTATTACTTGATATGTGCACTTGTATGGTATACAAAAAGTAGCAATCAAGTTTTTGACACCATTGCCGAGAATTATAGTAGTATTCTCAATATAATAAAGATTTCTTAAACTTTTATAATCTAAACTCTTTTTCTTTTATTTGTTTTATTTTTCTTTGATCTTTCTTGTTTGCATGCATAGATTAAAAATGTTGACTTAGCTCCAATTGATCAAGAAATTGAAAAGATATTCAAAAGAAGAAGAAATGAGCAATCAGCATGACCTACTCCAACACTAATGGCCAATGCAAACAATAAAGCTCAAAGAACTTTAAGAGATTATGTAGTTCCCAATTCTAATGGTTTTCAGCCATCTATAAAAAGGCTAGCCATTGAAGCCAACAACTTTGAATCACGCTTTTAATAATGCAAATGGTCCAAACTTTTGTGCAATTTGGAGGACTACCAAGCGATGATCCTAACCTTTATCTTTATAATTTTCTTGAATTATGTGATACTTTTCGCTATAATGGTGTTTCTAACAATACTATTAGACTAAGACTTTTTTCTTTTTCTTTTAAGGACAAGATGAAAAGTTGGTTGACATCATTACCACGTGGCTCTACCACAATATGGGATGATGTGGTATAAAAGTTTGTGGTGAAGTTCTTTCCTCTAGCCAAAACAATAAAGCTAAGGAATGAGATCACCACATTTTTACAAGTAGGTGAAACATTATATGATGCATGGGAAAGATTTAAAAAGTTGCTAAAAAAATACCCACATCATGGACTACCCTAATGGCTTCAAATCTAAATTTTTTACAATGGTCTCACATCACCCATTAGAACCACTTTAGACTTTACTGCAAGGGAAATTATGAGTATGACTCCTGAGGAAGCCAATGAAATGATTGAAAATATGGTTGTTAACAATTACCAATGAGGCATGGAAAGAAAGGTAAATAAGAAATTTGCTAGTGTATTTGAGATAGATGCTATTACCTCAGTCAATTCTTAGTTAGGCCCCTAACCAAAAAAATAAAAGCCTTAAAAGCCTAACCTCAAACCAACCATATGAATGCAATCCAAAACCTCTTTGTTTCTTGTGATATCTGTAAAGGACCTCATTCCAATGAAAGAAGTCAATTTAAAATTGAACCTGTCCAATACATCCAACAATTTAAGCCCAACCACAATCCCTATACCTGTAACCCTGGATGGCGAAACCACCTCAATTTTTCTTGGAACCAACCAAACCACCAATCTACCAACAAATAAAACAATAACTACCACCCCAATCTATCAATTTACAACCTACTCCAAGAAAAGAAACCAAGTTTTAAAGACATGTTGACCTAATTGATACAAGCCAACAATGCCAACATCCAAAGCCAAGCTACATCAATAAAAACCTTTAAAAACCAAATAAGTCAATTAGCCTAAGCTATAGCCAACTACCCTGTAGGTACCTTGCCAAGCAATACTAAATTCAACCCAAAAAGACATAAAAGGGTTGTCATGCTATTTATTCATTATGAGATATTGGGATGGAGGACTTTATGAGGAAGATGATTTTATAGATAAACCTATAATAGTAAACCACCCCAATTTTGTGAAACAATATGAGGTAAATTTTGTGGGAAAGGAAGACATATTAAAAGATTAAGAACTCCTGAGATTTGAAAGAGAAATTCTAGAAGGATTTGACCTTATCATACTGGAGGCCCTTAAAAATATTGAATCATATAAGGAAAACCCTGAGGAAAAAAATACTGAGATGAAATATGAAAAAGATCCTAAAGAATACATTGAAAGGTCTACTGAAAAAAAAAAGACAAATGCTATTACAAGTAGGGAAAGCATTATTAGAAAGGATTCAGCTTGAGCTTGAGAAGGTAATTTAAGAAATAGTTTAAAAAAAATAGTCAAAAAAAAAAAAGATCAAAAGGAGGAAGTGGAAGAGGATGTACAAACAAGGCCAAAGACGAATGCAAGAATGTATAGGCAGTGCTTTAACATAGCACCACTTTCCCCTTATTAAAAAAAAATATACTTAAAAATTGAAAGATGCCATGTTTTTGAAAGATTGCAGCCCTGAACTTCAACAACTTTTATCCATAAAGTAAAAAAATCAAAGGAGTTTTACTATTCCTTGCAAAGTTAGAAATTTAAAACTTGATGATGCTTTTTGTGATTTTAGCTGTAACCTAAACCTAATGCCTTTAAATATTTTTATTACACTAAGGTATGAAAAGTTGAAGCTTACAAAGTTTAACCTTAAATTTGTTGACCAATCTGCCAAGCTACCACAAGGGATGTTGAAAAATGTGCTTGTAAATGTTAGTAAGTATGCATTCCCAGTGGATTTTGCTATTTTAGACATAGAGGTGATAAAACTCCATTACTATTAAAGAAACCTTTGCTATTGACTACCAAAGCTTTAATAGATGTTTAGAACTCTAGCCTTACCCTTAGATTTAAAAATAAAAAGTTGTAGTTTATGACTAGAGAGTATGGTGTTCTTAGAGATTAAAATGATGTAAATGCAGTCAAGGTAAAGGAAAACCTTAAGGAATTTGAAAAACCTCTTAACCTTCTGATGCAAAACCATTTGGCAACCTCTAGCTTTGATAATGCTAACCCTGATTGTTATTTTCTTATAGCTTGTAAGTGAACAATTCAAGTAATAAATGAAAGTATTCTAGTATTGTCTTCTTAAGGATTATGATTGAAATGTTGGGTTACTATTCAAGTACCAATGGTGAAAGCCTAAGATCTTTTATCTAAACAATTGAAAATTTAGGTTTGATTGCAGAATAAAGGAGAAAAAAGATTAAAAACAAGGTGTAAGCTTGAATCTCACTTAACCAACTGTCACTTGGTAAGCTAGAGACAAGAGCCAAAATAAGATCTTAAGAAAAATAAAAATTGAAGACTTGAAAACAAGAGAGAGTAATTGCTCAATTGCTTGTAGATGTTTGAAATAAAGATTGCATAAAAGTAAACTTTGTAGATCATTCAAAAGACTATGGTTGAGCTTGTAAAGAAATAAAGAATGCTTGAAT